AGGGCAAAAGTCAAGATGAAGAGAGATGATTGATTTGTATAGCTGTATTTTCCTGGCAATGGTTAAATCGTTTTCCAGTCGACATAGAATTCCATACTTCTTGGCAATTTTCTTGATGACATTGTCAATGTGAGAGTTGAACTTAAGTGTGTCATCAATAATCACGCCAAAATATTTAATCTACCGAACACGATCAATAGTCTCATCATCAATTACAACGGAGACGTTCTCATTTACTCGATTCCGCGAAATTACCATAAATTTAGTTTTACTTGTATTCAATTTTAACTGCTTATACTTCAACCATCTACTTAGAGAACGCAAATCTTCATTCAAGTGTAAAACGGCATTATCTAAATCCTTAGCTGCAATGAATAATACAGTATCATCTGCAAAAAGATTAATGTCGCAAAATCGTAAAACACGTCGCAAGTCATTAATATACATAATAAACAACAGGGGACCTAATACACTTCCCTGGGGCACTCCAAGGTTATTCCCCACGGGACTGGAAACAGAATCATTAAAAACAGTCCATTGAGTTCTGCCAGACAAATAGCTTTCAAACCATATATATGCAGTACTCGTAATTCCAAAGCGGTTGAGTGATCTTAACAATAAAGGCCTAGAGCGTTTAAGCGCGTTTAAGATCCAAAAAATAAACAACACATAAACATTAAAATTAACATTTCCAATTTAATCAACAATTATAAATGTTTTCCAGTTACATAAGTATCCACCAAAATATATAAAAAAAATATCAAATTCAAATAAAGACCCTGTCCACGCACTGGGATCCTCTTCGATGAGCTCCAACGCCTGGCAACGGCTGAGCGAACTATCCGGAAATGGTCACTGGTTCAGGGGTTTAGCCACAGAAAGTTAAAACTCTTTTAGTCTTGAAAAAGACTGATTGATTGGCTTGTGTGGTTGGTTTCGGTCAGGAGAAAAAGAGATGAACTCGCGGTGTTAGATTGATTGTATATTAAACGGGTGTGATTCTTATAATGGTTTGATTTGTACTGATGATGGTGAAATTTGGTGCTGGTACTTTTATACCTATCGACTCGATCGAGAGTGATCGAGCCGGGAGGATATTCCTAGGTGATGTAGCTGCTTGTGTATTCCTGCTGTGTGGAGTGTAGAGCGAAATACAATTCTGTGCGGCGTGTGGGTATAATACAATTCTGCTTGTTCTGTGTCGCTTGTGCAGTGGTATCTCGGACCATCGCGTTGTCCGCGACAGACCCCTAGCACCCCCTGTTGCATCACAGATATTTGAAACCACACATCCAATTTCCCCATTTTTCAAACGCCCTCCACGAGCATGCTCATTAGACTGATGCAACATTTGAAATTTTCGCTCCACAGTGCTTAAACGGTTACAAATTGGGTCCTGATTAGCCTCCCAAAATTTGAACTCATTTAGTGCGAAACTGACTTGGCACAAACCATTTGAAGTTTATATGGGGGTTACTATGGAGAAACCATAATTTCGGTTCATATCGAACTCAAAATTCACCAGTTCTCTTCACTTTAGAAAATGATAGCTCAGCTTGTTGAAAATTTTTTCAGCTTCAACTTAGTTGAAGACCACTTTTCGATCAAATGTAAGGAACAAAAATTATTAATGATTGAAGTCACTGATGTCTTATCATTATGCTCAATCATCTGTTCAGCAGGCAACATTGGTGCTTATGGCGCGTAGAATAGAGGACAAAAATCATGGCAACTATGTCACACTGCAGAATACAGTGTTGCCCACAATACAGTTGCTTAATCGTGCCATAAGATTATCAATGTCTTAAACAATTAATAGCTATTTAATTTGACGTTTTGCTGATAAATTTTCTGCAAAGTTGTAACTGATACAAATTCCCATAGGAATAGCAATAGAATTTGTTATCAGTACAATTAGTAAAAAAGCTAGAAGACAACGAACAAAAAGTTTTGTTTTCCCATAGTAATCAAAAATTCAAATTTCCTCAATCATCACAAACGCCTTCAATTTGCATTAGTATCATTAAAAAAAAAAAAAGTTAACACGCTTAGCGTCCTATTATGCAAAACATTTAAATTTAATGAAAAAATCATAACGCCTTCCAGAAGCTTGTATATCATCAAAGAAAAAAAAAATTAAAATCAAATTCAATTAAAGAACCCTAGTGTATCAGAACCCCCTGTTGCATTAAAGGGCGAACACGAAATTATTGCGACAAATTCAACAGGACATAACTTTTTTACCATTGGGTAAAAATCAACCAAATTTGTGTACATGCTGTCAAACTCGAAGTCGTGTTTTTCGATTCAACGAAAATGGAGGTGAACCAACGCGAGTTGAGAGAACAAATTCTTTCCAAACACCTGGAATTTCCTGACCTGTCGCACCGGCAGTTGGGAAAAATGTTGAACATTCACCATTCAACCGTCTCCAGAGTGTTGAAGCGGTTCCAGGAGCGGTTGACGTTGGACCACGGCAAAGGAGCTGAAAGAAAACCGGGACCGGAGAACAAAAAGACGGAGGGAAAGGTGAAAAAACTCGGCTAAAACTCGGGCACGGAAGCTCTACGAGAAGATGCTGACAAAATATGGCTGCTGTGTGATGGACGACGAAACGTATATAAAAGCCGATTTTAAGCAAATTCCGGGGTTGGAGTTTTTCACCGGCAAGAGCAAGTTCGATGTGGACGACAAATTTAAGAAGAAGAAAATGTCGAAGTTCGCCTCCAAATATCTCATTTGGCAGGCCATCTGCTCTTGCGGACTGAGGAGTGAGCCTTTCGTGACAAAAGGCACAGTAAATGGCGAGATCTACAAATCTGAGTGCCTCGAGAAGCGCCTTTTGCCGTTCTTGCAGCAGCACGACAAAGCTCCGCTATTTTGGCAGGTTTGGCATCATGCCACTATTCTAAAAGTGTCCTGGAGTGGTATGATGCCAATTCTGTCCATTTTGTTCCAAAGGACATGAATCCGCCAAACTGTCCGGAGATGCGCCCGGTGGAGCAGTACTGGGCAATAATGAAGCGGGAACTTCGGAAGAGCAAGAAGACAGTCAAAGACGAGAAGGACATGTTAAGAAAATGGAAAAAAAAACTGAGAAACTGGTACCGGATGACACTGTAAAGACTTTGATGGAGGGCATCAAGCGAAAATGCGTTCAATTTTACACTCAAGGCTCCATCGATTAACTTTTCTTTTGATTTTTGAAGTAAATATATGTATAAAACTACCCTAAAATTTTGGTTTGATTCTAAACATTATGCGAAAATTGGCATGACATTTTCGGTGTCGCAATAAATTCGTGTTCGCTCTTTAGAATCAAGTATTTTAATTTCATCAAACATTACAAACGCCTGCCAGTTGCATTGGTATAATCAATGTATGAAATAACATTAAAATAAAGACTTCTAGCGCCCCCAGTTGTAAACTAACTATTCTAATATCATAAAACATTCTAACAGCATTCAAAAGCATGCATGTCATCAAAGTAAAAAAAAAATATATAAGATTTAATCAAATACCCCTGGTGCCCTCCTGTTGAATCAGAGATATTAAAAAACACACTTTCAATTTCCTTATTTTCCAAACGCCTAGCAGTTTCATGAGTAGCATCAAAGTAGCAAACAAATCAAATTTAAATTAAATACTCCTAGCGCCCCCTGTAGCTTGTTGTATTTTAAAAATAAAATCATCATTTTTAATTCCTCCGCCAAGTTTGCCTTTGCATAAAAATAAGAAAATAAATCAAGTTTTTAAAGATCGTTTTGTGTGAAGGCACTTAAACCAATAATTACAATTTTGTCAAACACTTCATGAGTGCCCACGGCGGCTGTCTCAGAGAACTTAGATTTTTTTTTGTTCAACTTGCTGATACATCACAAGAAAGGTGTGTGTTATGTTTATGGAATTTTGATTTTTTTTCTCTAATGTGTATGAAACAATAGGAGAGTGTTAACAGTAAAGGTGAGGAGCATCGGGAGGGCGCATGGGGTATGAAGCACAAATCATTAGAGGGGAGGGGGCCCGTCCTTGCGCACGCCACTGACATTTGATATTGCTCCGAGCCAAGTTGTTAACCAATGAACAGTGAAGAGCCATCACCGAATTCATTATTGAACTCATCGACGATGTCGTTTCGGTCAGTGTGATTGCTGATGCATGCAAATTTAATACTTCCTTGAGTATATCATGGAACTTGAAGATTAAAGGCATAAAGTTGCGTCGATAGTTTACCGCCTGTGACTTCCGGTCAGTCATGGCTCACCAACACACACACACATACAAATATCAATTTATATACCGCATACCTAGGTATGTTTGTGTTTAAACCTGAATCAGGAAATCATCTCTTCGTTGCGGAAACGGATACATTACGAGGCGTATAAATTAGATTGCAGTGTAATATTTGGCAGCGGAAGTGAGGTTGGTAGTGCGACGAAGAACTAATCATGCTGATAATTTATCAATGCTTTGCTGTGATAGCGTGCACTTTTGCGCTGGAGGTGGCCAACAGTAGTGGTTCCACGAGGTTGACCCAGTTTCCGATTTTGTGGAGGTTTAGATTTAGTTTACCGGAAATTATTTGGATGCTTGGATCGGTAGCTGCGTATCGCTCGGAGGCCACAAGCGTGGGAGCCACTAACGTTATCGTAGGTAATTTGCATTTGGGAGGTTTGCGTTTGCAGGACTTGATATCTGCATCGGTGGTATCAAAACATAAACACGCCCACGGACCTCCACAATCCACTTCGTCCTTAATGGGTTCGCGATAGGTTGTAAATGGAGCTCGTTGTTTATTCAGTGCGGTGTGTTGTTTAGTGGATTTGATAAATTTTGTAAATTGGAGATTTGTTGGCTAGAGATTTGCATAAGCATAACCTAGCTTCGGGGGATGTGTGGTGTACGTGGAATGTTTTAGTGGTTAATCGAATTTATCGGATCAGTAGGGGTTTTGATATGTAAAACTGATGTTAATTTATTTTTCTTTTATGTATTTTCAGATCGTGTTTCAAAATAGGATCTGCGTTGAAATAGAGCTGGTAAGTCATGATTTTACCTCAACCACAATCAAAATGATCATTTTCGCATTTTTAACGTGCTGATCAAAACTAAATTAAACAACTAATCAAAACTCAGTTGATATGAACTATTCACAAAACGGCAGTACACTAACTCATACAGGGTGTCGACTCAATGAAGAAAACTAAATTTCGTGATGGTCCCTGATTTTACAGTAATTATAAAAAAAAATCAAGGTACAGTAGCTACCCGTTTTTGGCAAAACGACGTCATCAGTTATTACTTTTTTCAGATATGTACTAGTACTTTCTTAACATTTTTTCATAAAATACCACATGTATCTCTAACCCCTGAAAAGTCGTCCACCATCTCAAATTGAATAAAGCGATCGATACATTTTATAGAATGCAAAAAATACAAAACAATCTCGTGTTGCTAAAAACGGTAAGGCACCGCATTTTTATCAAATTCAAAAAATTTGATCTTGGTAAGTGCCAGGTAATTAGTTTAAGCAGTAGCCAGGTTGTTACTATGATTCATAGCAATGTGTAATGGAAACTACAACTATCTCGACATCAATCTACAAACAAAAACTTGCTTAAGATCAGTTCCAGGCCAAATAGAAAAATAAAATAAAATATAATGATTCGTCCTTTTCCGATTTGCATGAAACTGTGCATAATTGTGTGCTATGTGCTGTTATTCACATTTTTGCAAAAATTCAGCTAGTTCGGAACTGGTATTTTTTTTGCGTCATTTGGCGTGAAACTGCTTAAAATTGCTTAAAGTTTTCGGCAAGTTCATGATCCATTTCTTACCTCGATTTACCTAATGACACGAGAAAAGGTCTTCGGCATGGTAGTTTTCTCACCCTTAGAAGTTCTTTTCTGACTATTTCCGAACTCAACATTTGAAACACTTGTCTTAAACCCCATTAAAAAGTTTTCCCTTGAGCACATTTTAAGACCCAGCTCCGCAAGAAATTTATTCCGGATAATATGCTTAACCAAATGCTTATTCGTGGCCGGATTCCTCTGATGAGAAATCATAAAAACAGCGCTTTCTCTTCCAAAAGTATTTAGGGGAAATGGATCTTATGGTGGCCTATGGATCTAAGATTAGGCCCATCGCTAAAAATCGGCTATTTATCAATTTTATCTAGATGAACAAGTCATTAGGACGGATCTTATAGATATTTTTGATCACTTTTGAAAATTTAGTCGATTGCTGAATTTATGTATGGGCCCAAATTAGCGGGATTTAGGCTGACATTAAATACATCCAAGTTAATTCCATCTCAATTGAAATAGCAGCAAAATCATACACGCTTAGAAATTATTACCGACTTCGGTTATTTTTACCAAACTTTCAACGGCAGAACGATCGGTAAAACGTTGACCCTTGTTTCAAAAGCTTTTTCATTTTATTTAAATTTCTAATTAAATGTTAGTCTTTTTTAAATAATCTCGTGGTGATTGTGGTGATTTTGATTTTTGCTTTGTAGTTCATAAACAAAGAAATTAAAGTGCCTGATTTTTACCGAACAGTTCAGCTAATAATTCTGTCACCAGACAGCGCTAGTGTGACATTATTTTTTCATTGACTGTCCTGATAAGGCAGAGGGTTTCCGATATCAGTAAAGTTATTCAAATGGACAAAATCTATCCTTAACTAAAGAGTATATAAAGAGAGAGAGAGAGAAGGATGAGTATATTCCATTTTTTTCCACTCCCTTATTTTCTTATCCTTGACAGATAAGCGTATTTCTTATACAATGTGCAGACTTCTTCAGTGTATTGTACTAATACTTGACAGATTCGTACAAGACACTGAAGAAGTCTGCACACTGTCGATGAAATACGAATTATGAAATATCTGTTAAGGATTAGCAAATCAAGTAGTCGAATTATATTAAAATTACTAATCCTTCACTCTCTCTCTTTATACAGGTATTCCACTAAGGCACCCACATTCATCAGGGCTAAAGAGTATAGTTCAAAATTTTCTCACAAGGAAAGGTTAGCGTGACATTGATTTTGAATCGTTTGCCCTGACTTATCACATAGAAGGTTTTCTTGTTCAGCAAAGTTGTTCAAATGGACAAGGCATATTTTGTGGTCAAAAATTTAGCTCAGAATTCAGTCACCAGGCGATGCAAGTGTGATATTCGTTTTGAATTGTTTGCTCTATCTTAACATCTTGACTAGATATAAGGTTCCCGTCTTCAACAAAATTGTTCAGATTAACAAGATCTATGTTATGGTAAAGTTACCCCGTAACGTGGGTAGATCACCTTTTCGTGGTACGTTACGAGATGTAAGATCTACCACCGATTCCTAGTCCCGACTACTTCAAACTGGGGGAACAGGATTTTTCAGTAATCAAAGGAACACATCTACAACACTCCCACTTGATTGCAAGGACATGGCTGGCGTCGGTATTGATCATTAAAATATATAGTAACTGAAACTTGTCCACTTTTACTTGTAACGATCACTCCCAGCCCCATTCAGTTGATTCATTCTCGATGAACATTTCAAATGGTCCTATCTGCTTTGAGCAATTCTCTTTATTGATTTTCTCTTTTGATAACCACTGCTAAGCAAACAGATTTCGCGCTAATTTTACCACATAGTTTCATGAAGGAGGTTCTTATCTAGCATTCAAAACGTCAAATACAGAAGGGAAAGATACATTCAAAGTGTTTTTATGTTGTTGGTTGGAAGTCTCTGAGATGATCACGTTGGTCACGACGAGAGGAGCAACACAATAGTTGGGTAAAGAAGAATTGTATTATAACACACAATCGACTGGAATTGCTCTCGCAAACTGTTGCATTAATGGCCCTTCGCTCATTTTCAACTTCTATTCAATTTTCATACTGCCGTACTCTAACGGAACTATCCACCTACCCTCTTCTAAAGATCCTTCTCTAGCTAATAAATAATCACACTAAAGCTTCATGTTAGCATTTCCAACCAACTCAGAAGGGAAAGGTTTTGCAGCTGAATTATTAACGAAAGAGAAAGTCGATGAAGACAATTGATCAATGCAGATAGGACCTTTTGAAATGTTTATCTAGCATTGTGCAATTTCATTGATTCTGATCAATCACGGAATAGCAACCATTGATATGTGCAGTCAGTCTAAACTAAGCTACACAGCAAAAAAATAATTTTGATTTCACATCAAAGTGGATGCACTACAATCATGTCGAAAATTTCATGTAATTTTTAAGACCACATAAATAAACAAATGCAGTAAAAGCAGCGTAATGTGAGTTCATGCATTGTATTAATGATAATTTTGTCCTTTTTAGCAAGTAATATTACACCATATTTTCGACATGATTGTAGTGCATCCACTTTGACGTGATATCAAAATTATTTTTTTGCTGTGTAAGATACCCCGTAACGTGGGTAGATCACCTTTTCGTGGTACGTTACGGGATGTAAGATGTGTCGGAGACGAGCCAGCCAACGGCTGAAAGTCTCCTTAATAAAGATATAAAAAAAAAGGGATGTAAGATCTGCCACCGTCCTGACTACTTCAAACTAGGGGAACAGGATTTTTCAGTAATCCAAGGAACACATCTTAGTTCTTGTTACTTTTTTTTTGCCTTGTTGATAGTGACAAGACTCGGCTTTGTCCACCGAGGATGATCTTGAAACAAGGAAAAAATGAGTTTGTTAGTCTTCATCTATGTGGTTCCTAATCTTCTATTCGTTGTTCTCTAGTTTAAAGTGGGTAAGACTAGGGTTCTGATGCATGGTCATTATCGGTGTCATTCCTTATTTTTGTTGCTAAGCAATCCAATTTTGACTGACAAAAGGCCGCCCCCTTGGAGGGTCTTCCAACTCCGAAGGAACGGAACCTTTCAATTAGAATCGATTCCTTGCGATGAAGGCAAGAATGACAACTGTAAAAAAAATCGAATTCGACGGAAAACAAAATCGACGGAAAACAAAATCGACGGAAAACAAAATCGACGGAAAACAAAATCGACGGAAAACAAAATCGACGGAAAACAAAATCGACGGAAAACATACCGAGGAAAAAAAATCTGTGCCATGTATGACAAAATATACATAGGGTAGACAAAAAGAACTTTAAAAACAAGATTTAAAGAACATTTAGCAAATGTGACAAAAGCTACTAAGGACACGAAAAAGGATTCATTTACTTACTGACACGCATCAATTGACAAGGAAAAGATAAAAACTGTACGGAAATTATATACCCTTGAAAACTTGACGTGGCTCAAAGTTTAGAAATTTACAAACAAAGACAATCAACTTTACTTAACAAGGACCTAGGAAATGGATATTCCTGGCTTTTTAGACTATTACCTTCAACACGGAGACAACCAGCCCAAACGAAAAATTACGCACCTCAATAAACAAAACACACGTACCTGTACTACACAGCAAAAAATTTATTTTAATTTCACATCAAAGTGTATGGACGTGTCGAAAATATGGTGTAATATTACTTGCCAAAAATGACAAAATTATGATTAATACAGTGCATGAACTGAAATTACGCTGCTTTTACTGCATTTATGTATTTTTGTGGCCATAACAATTACATGAGATTTTCGACGTGATTGAAGTGCATCCTCTTAGATGTAATATTAAAATTTATTTTTTGCTGTGTATATCCTACTAACTACCTGACTACATGACATCCCTAACGACAAACACCATATCTGAATATACAACACAAATATATGCACACTACCTACCCAAGTAGCACATGTTGTCACATAAAAGTTGCTGCCACTATTTTGTGACCAAATTATGTGTCGTAAAATCATTACAGTAACCATGAAGGCAACAGCAATGCAACCAAAAAAGCGCAAGATGTGAGTTGATATGTAACCAATTCAATGTTACAAAACTAGTTACACAGTAGTGATGAAGTAACAATGTTGGATTACATACAAATAAGTTAACTTGTAACGTTGATTAACTTTAGTTTAATTTCGACGATGTATATTGTTTTACAGAGTACTTTTATG